AGATTATTGATGGAAAGAGGCATTAAAAATAGTAATGGAAACATTGGGCATCATTATTGAATGATGGAATGAATGATGAAGATCAAAGATTTGATGGAAAGAGGAAGAATGAAAGGGGGGGGGGTATTTTAATGTATGGTTGAGTAGGACTGAAGAGAAATTTGAGAATACAGAATCCTCAGAATTCTGACCTCAAAGATGGTCCTCCATGAAGAACTCCAAAGTACTTGGCCACTCTCTTGCAAAAAAGTCAAAATCCAGTGACATTGAGTTCTGTGATCACCTTGCAATCCAGGTCAAAAGATGATTCTTCAACTACGCAGAATGTTTTCAGGGCCTAGTCAAGGCTGCAGCCACTTGCAAAAAGTGTAAACTACCAGGAAATTCAACAGACAGCTACAAGTTTGAATCAAAATTTGACAGCTTCCTGACTACAATGGCAGCAATGATCCCAACAGAAGCAAAATATTTCCAGGACAACTTGGCAGGAAGATCAATTTGTGGAGTCTGGGAAGCTCATCAAAGAGAAGGTAGCCAGCTCAAAGGTGGGATATTTATTAAAAAGTTTGAACATGTAGCTAGATACATTTCTCAACTTGGCTATGAAGGACCTGTTGCACTTGCATCCAACCAAACTGTATGTGTCAAATCTCTCTGCTCACACAATTGAAATCTGGTTGATGCTCAGGGAGGAGACATACCCTTTTCAAGCATGGCCAAACTTTTGGAAGAGATTAGATCAAGGGATAAGCTATACAGTAAGGCAAGACTCTCAATTTTCAAAACTTATACCCGGGAATTAAGTTTGATTTATAAAACTTGAAGTTGCGAGTCTACACTGTCCAAGCTACCTTGCCAAAGCTGCCTTTGTCTGTGGTGGCTTTGGCTGCAAGTTACAATTCCAAAACTGCTGAAGATATACATGCTAGCCACTGTGCCTTCCTTGATTATTGCTTTCAATTCAACATGCTGGTAATACCATTAAGATCCAATGGAGCTGCTACCAATTTTTAAACACTCCAACTTCTTAAAGGATCAAAAAATCATTCCCTTTGATTCAACAAGGCAGATTTTTGTGTATCTGTTCAAGTTTACCTTGTTGGCTCCCAATCACACCCAATTATTTTTATTCAAGACCCAAAGCATACATGTAAAAAATAATCAGCTTCTCTCAGGTTCCCATTTTAATGTTTTTTGGATGTTTCAAACTCAACATATCTCACCTTTCCTCACTCCTTGAAAATTCCACTTCTCCTCTTTATGAATTGCAAAAAGCAAGACAATAGCCATCTCTCTGCTGTTTCCACAAAAGGTCTTTCTCTCCTCCATTCAGCAAATACATTCTAGAATACAACTTCCAGGACTCTCAAACACAGGTCCCAAGCAGATACCACATGGGAAGCTCAGATGATAACCCCTACACTAAAATATTTTCTCATCATTAACTCCTCTTTTTTTTATTGGGAGGGCCTAACAGCCAGCTGTAATGCCCCTAAAAATATCAGGGTTTTCTGGATCAAGGGGTTTTGTTATTGAATTGCTACTATCTAGTCAATTCCTTTTTTTGAATGAATGAATCATTTTTCATGTTATTTGTAGTTCTGTATTCTATTTTGC